ACAGTCAATTTAATCCTGTGTGTGTGTGTGTGTGTGTGTGTGTGTGTGTGTGTGTGTGTGTATGTGTGTGTGTGTGTGTGTTTTTCTAGGATGTCTTTTTCTTTCTTTTTCCTCTCTTTCCCGGCTGCTGGGGATTGAACCCAGGGTCATCACACTGTGCTACATCTCCACCTCTTTTTGTCTAAATTGTTCCTTTGCCCAGGCCATACTCAAACTTTCAGTCCTCTTGTCTCAGCCTCCCGGAGTGCTGGGGTTACAGGTGTGCAGCACCATACCTGTCTTGGGTATCTTTTTCTTTGGTGTAATCCTCTCTTCTGGTTTAGGAGCAATCTGTTCCTTTTCTGTGAAGACCACACATGAATTAATTTAGCCATGAACTCTGTAAGGACAGTGCATCTCTTGGGGACTTGTCCACCTGGATGTGCTCAGTGATTGAAGAACCTGCAGCAAACCTTTAGAATCAGTATTACTCTGCACCTTTACACTTCTGTGGCAAAAGCTAAGCATCTTTTTGGGACCACAGACACCCTAACCCAACTGCGTGGCCTGGTTATACCACCCACCAGCTCCACCACTGCAATGACAGAGCGTCACTCACCTCTTCTACTGAGCGACGCTTTCAGATGCTTCGTGGCTCTTGGATAGGTGTGCTCATGTGTGTACTGAGGGTTGGATGGGGGCCACTGACCTGCTTCCTTGGCCCTCTCTATTTTATTTTGGGACAGGGGTCCCCATAATTTGCCCAGGCTGGCTTTAAACTTGCGATCCTCCTGCCACAGCCTCCAAGTAACTGCGACTACAGGCATGCGCCATCACGGCCAGCTGGATGACCTGGGCAGTTTCCTTGGTGTTCTTGAGGAGACATGATGATTTGAATCTCTTGGTTAGAATAATTTTATAGGTGTTTCTGGGTCAAGGGAACATCCTTAACTTTTCAGGGATCACCTGAGACCCAGTGGAAGCTATTCTTGCCTTCTGGTACTAATAATGACTGTCAAATAATAAGATCAGGAAAAAAAAGGTCAAAGAGCCATATGGGCTGGCGGGCAGGGAGACAGCTGGGAGCAGCTTTCTGGTCATAAGTTTGCAGCTCTGCACAAGAGGCTCCTACATCCATGTGCCAGAGCACATCTGAAGCCCCTGAGGAAGCCCAGTATTTTTTCCTATTTCATGTATTTTATTTAAAGAGTTGAAGCAAAAAAAAAAAAAAAAAAAAAAAAAAACCACACAAAACCATTGTTTTTACATCACTTTACTACAAATGCACGAAAGTAATGGGAAGCAAAAGTGAAAAGTGGTGTGAGGGTTTGAGCCACCCAAGGACAGCTGCTTGTGCAGACAGCTGTAACTCTGCAGGTGGCTGTGGCAGTGTTTTGGGGCCACAGGTGACAGGACGCTGCCAGGTCGGATGTGCTTCCCCCTGTCTGTCCTTGTTAAATAGCATCTGTTCAGGCCAGGTACACAGTTCCTTCTTTAGGGTCACTTGACTTAGACACTGCCCTTTGACTTTTGTGGCTCTTTGTCAACCCCTTTCTGCAGCACTTATCTATTCCTATCCTGCAATAAGGACACCTAAGGCCCAGGGGTGTGTGTGTGTGTGTGTGTGTGTGTGTGTGTGTGTGTAACTGAGGAGTGAACCCAGGGCCTTTGCACCTAAGTATATCCCCACCCTTTCTAAATTTTCTTTAGTTTTAAAACTTTGAGACAAGGTCTCCCTAAACCATTAAGTTACCCAGGCTGGGCTCAAACATGTGCTCTTCCTGCTAAGATTACAGGTGTGCACTACCCCATCTGTTTAATGCCCAGTCTTAAATCCTCTCCTGTGTATTTCTCCCTGGGGACACTTAAGAGTGTAGCACTCTATTGATGGAAGCAGGGTTGCAATAAACATTTAAAGACTGAATGAATGAGCAGTTGGTATTCCTAAGCTTTGGCTGTAGAGGCAGTATATTTTATTTAACTTTTTTTTGCTTTATTTATTTTATTTTTCAGTGCCAGTGATCAAACTCAGGGCCTTGTATATGCTAGGCAAGCACTCTACCACTAAGGTATACCCCGAACCCCTTAAAATTCTTTTTAATCTTGAGATACAGTCTTGCTAAATGGCTAAGTTTCCCTGGGCTGAGCTCAGATTTGTAACCCAGAGTTCCGGGATTATAGGCATGTGCTACCATGCTATGCTGATTTTACTTCTTTTTAGAAGTAAAAATCAACACAAAGTTTAAGCCTCTGTGGGGACATATCCTGAAGGAAGACAAAAAAAGAGGAGATATAAATCCGTCCCTTTTAAGTAAGTGCTTGGACTAGACAACGGACATTCACACAAGGAGGTGCTTTGGCAATCCTGAAACCAAAAACAAACCATTCAGTTGGTGACTGTCATGTGTCCCCATCTGCCCAGATTAACTGTACAGTGAGTGACAAGTTCATCAGTTTGCTTTGCCTGTTTCCCTGTTCATCAGCGTCACATTTTTCCCAGTGGCAGCAGCACCAGCTTGCTTCTGACACAGAGGAAGCGTTCACTGAAGGTAGAACCATTAAATGATTAAATTAAATAGTTGTGGTGTGTTAGTCTTAGGGATCTCATGTCATATGTCAATATGTGACAATGAATCATCAGAGAAACTCACTCTAATTCCCAGGACTTTGCTGCAGCCTGAGGCCATAGGCTCTCTGATTTGGAGTCCCCATCAGTTAATGCCGTTTCTGGGACACTCTGGGGATATGAATTACACTGATGCCCTCGTGCATAGTGTGTGACACAGCTGACACCACTGCAGGATCAGAAGGTACTCTGGGCACCAGGTCCAGTTCTGGTCCTGATTTCCTTTGTGGCTTTAGGCCAAACAAGGAAATTTTGCAAGTTTGTTCTTCCCATTAGCAGTAGAGAAGGCACCTTGGAAAAAGCCTTCAGACCTAGATACCATGTAATGTGGAAAGAGGGGTCACCAATAGTGTACCTCAGCATGTAGGCTGCAGAGTGGTTGCGTAGCATATGCAAAGCTCTGTATTTGATACCCAGCACAGCAAAAAAGAATCGGGCAAATAAATACATAATAAAATCAATCAACCAGTAGTGATTCTGTTGCGCTTCTGTCCATTCAGTGGTGCAAAGTTCAGCTCTGGTTTATGAGTGAGATTTTGCCAACTCAGAGTCACCCTGCAGCCTTTCCTTCTCTGATCTCTTTGTTCTATCTGTTGTTTGGTTCAATCATTCTAAAACACTTAGAGAATCAGTTTCAGCTCCTGGATTATGTCTTCACAAACCTTATTCCCACTCTTGCAGATAATTTAGTAATCTTTTACCAAAAGATTAAGGTTAATTGAACTTGCAGTTCCTCAGGACACCTTGTTTCATATTGACCCGTCTTTATCTCTGTGATTCTCTCCCGTTCCCAGCCCTCCTCTCCAGAGCTAACTTTCCCCCTGTACTCCCAGTTCCTCCTTCTCCGGCTTCCTGTTACACTGTCACTACTACATGCCATCTGTATTTTTAGGGTTCTTGCAACTGCTTTCAAACACACCCAGGTTTTATTCTATTTTTATTTTTAATTTTTATTTTTTTTTAAGACAAGTTCTCACGCTTTGGTCTAGGCTAGTTCTCTATAGCCCAGACTGGCCTCGAACTGGAGACTTTTTGCTCCAGCTTTCTGAGTGCTATGATTATAGGCATGCACCACCACACCTGGCTTTTTTCTATTTTTAAAAGTACACCAGAAAACCAGAATGCCTTTCCTTGACCTCACATTCTCTTCTAGCTATTTACTGCTTTCCTTCTGCAGCAAGACACCTCACTTCCTCTTTCCTTGGGGCCCTGGTTTGGCAGTCTTCTTTCCGTTTTCCAGTGCTGTTGAAATTGCATCCTCCAAAGTCAATGATGATACCTGGAACCCAGCCAGCAGGGCTTTGTTTTAGCCTCATTCTTGTTTTCTCAGAGACATCAGTTTTCTTTTCCCAACTCTGATCTACTTCTCTGGCTTATATTTGTCAGCCTATTTCCTAAGAGTATTTTCCAAACTGGCCCACAGCATAGCATCCTGGCAGAGTACAAGCTCTTGCAGTAGTGAGCCTATGGTTGATTTTTAATTTTGCCACTAATCAGTTGCATGACCTCTGACAAGGTAATTTCTCCTTCCTCAATTTGCCTAGTTTTAAAACGAGAGTGATGGGAAGAGTTCTTCTTTTGGTTTGACATTACAGTTGGGGTTGTCTATGCAGTATTTACTGCAATATTTGGCATATGAAAGTATTCATTCGTGTTGTCTATTGGTATAACAAGAAGCTCCTGGCAGTTGTGACACCCACACCTGTTACCCCAACACCCTGGCAGGCTGAGGCAGGAGGACCACAGGTTTAAGCTCAGCCTGGGCAATTTAGCAAAATCTTGTCTCAAAATGTTACAATAAAAGCAAGGTTGGAGATGTAGTTTAGTGCAAAGGTCCTGGGTGCAACCTCCAGAACCAAAACAAACAAGAAGCCAGTAAACTCCTAGGTCTTTGAAAACAGACCTCCCCCACCCCTTCTAGGACATATTGCCCTCAGGACTCAATCCAGGGCCGGGCAGTAATCAATCACTAGGTTTATGCACGTGATTGGACAACCCCGCGAAAGAGAAAGGATGGCTGAGGAAGTTGGAAAATCTTCAGGGACTGTAGCATCCAGGATTTTTACGTTTTATTTTTAGCAATAAGCCATTTAAGTTGTGGAGAGTTCAGAGCGCTTCTTTTGGAACAAATGATGTTCGTTGAGCAGCAAAGTGGTGTCATCGGTTAAAGCGCCAGTGGTAGGTTCGACAGTCACAGGGGCTGCTTGGCACGAATATCGTCCCATCCCAGTAAAAATTTGACTTTTCACCGGACCCAGGAAGCCTCGCGTTGAGGGATGGCGCCATCTAGTGGCAGAACGAGGCAACGGCGCTGGCAGAATCGCGTCCTTTGATGCCCGGAAAGGGCCTCGGAATCAGCGTCCTTTCTGGACAAAGTGCGGGTGAGGCTGGACAGGAAGGAAGAATATGGGAGTGGTAGTGGCCGCGGGAAGAGAAACAGCTCAGCACACTGCAGGGACTCCAAGGGCACGGGCGATGGCTGTGGGGTTTGCAACAACCTTGTCGGTATCCTCGGAGGGCAACTCCCTCCCCCACCTCTTTCCTAGCGGCCAAACCCACACCGATTTCCCCCATCGTTCGAGTCTCACTTTCCAGCACTCTACGCTGGCCGGTTACTCCAAACTGACCCCCCTTCATCTTCTCATTTGCCTTTTTGTGTGTTAGGATTTCAGGGCTGGGGAGAGCTAGCCGTGTCATTACATCTGGCCGCCACCCGGGGACAGCAGCCCTGTGAGCACCGAGCACCGAGCACCGAGTACCTAGCAACCGGGACCGCGCACCTCAGCGCTGCGTCACGTGACCGCCCGGGACAGCAGGTGAGGGCGCCGCGTTCTGCATCTTGGCTCCCAAAGCAATCCCTAGGAGGCCACTCTGGTCACTATCGGAGGGAGCTGGATCCTAAGTGTGTAACTAGCTGCGATGTTCTGTTTGGAAAATTCAAGGGGGCAGGGTTGATTCTGGAGCCGATTGGGTTACAGATCAAGACAAAAAAAATACAGATCAATATTCTATCAGCAAAGAGTCAGGATGAGAGGGACTGAAGGGAAGACCTTGGTGCTCCCTTCAAACAGAAATGACCACACCCTCATCAGCATGCAGCGCATTGTTTAGGCGATAAAATTGGGATAGAAATGTAGCTTCTGAAGTCTGGAACTCTTCTCTGCTATTGACTTTGAGTAGTTGTTGAGCATTATTCTAAGTCTCAGTTGCACCTTTCCTAAGGGGAAGATCATTAACCCTACCTCTCCAGCTTAATGTGAGGATTAAATGAAATACCGGAAAAGCTCTCTTTTTTGGGAGATTGGGATTAGATTTCAGAGCATCACAACCTTTTCTTCCAATATGGATCCATCTACTAGCTTCTTTTGGGTTGCTTTCTTGCATTAATCACATGCATGATACAGTTTTGTAGTTTTGGTTTCTTCAGATGTAATGTGAACCCAAAGATGCTTGGGAAGGCACTTACAAAGCCACTTTTCATGGGATCATTTCAGTTCCCCAAATCATAATGGGTCAGTAAGGTTTCTCCATGCTTTTGCTGTCTGCCTGCCTCCTTAGCAGCTTCCCATTGTGGAATCCTGAAAATTCAACACTGCTTTTAGAGAAGCATCTCTCTTCTGTTGTATATTCGTGTTTTAACACTTCATATAATGTTTAATTAAATTTCACAGTTATAGATCTAGGAATGTTCTTCTGTGGTAGAGCACTTGCCCAGCAAGAGAGGCCCTGAGTTCTATCCCCAACACAGCAATATATCACTAAAATTTTTGAAGTAATAAATCCATTTCACAGTCTGAATATCAAGTACTGCTGCTGTGAACTGATTCTTGAGAGGCATGGAGCTTCCAGGAGCAGGAGGAGCAGATATCATCAGCTAAAGCGGTGTTCTGTGCGCTTCAGAGATGGCCTGGAGAATCCAGTTACCCTGCTGTGATGGTTGAGCACAGATTAAATAAAGTGTCTGCCAAAAAAATGCACATACAAAGAAAAACTTGGATAAACATTTCAATAGTAAATTTACTGAAGTATCTTGAGATTAGTTCAAGTTACATTTGGCCTCTACAACTGTAAGAGATGTTCAAAGTGGTGACCATTAGCTTCCAGATATTTGTTAGTATAGTGAACTGCTGCTTGGGTAATGTTGGTCATTGAGATTGCTGCACATGCATTTTCAATTTCTTCTATAAGGCCCAGCAGTATGGTGGGTTTTCTGCGATGTATGACATCCTCTAGGGACACCATCTGTTAGAAAACAATATCATATTTTTCTTTTCCTGAAGTGCACATACATTTTTTGGTGGACTCTATTTAATCTAGTGTAGCATACAAAAATGCCCACCCGATAGCTAGAAACCCTGCATACTATTATCATTAATGAGTTCAGGCTTTTTAGAAATAAAAATTTCTTCCCTCGTTTTACAGATGAGAAGAAGATCCAAGTGTTTGTAAGTTTGGCTTTTGTAGTATTGATCAGCATTTGAGTCAGATGCGTTTGTATTTGAAGAGGCATCTGGGAGTTGGCAGTGAATAATCTTCTGTAACCCTGAATCCATTTCTTTTTGGACAGAGCAGGGAGAATGAGAACATGTCGATGAAGCCCAGGGGAGGGATCCAGGCCTAGTGCACACCGGAATCCTTTCCCAGAGGAAGAAGGACTCTTCGAGCTTTGTGCACAGGATGAGCACAGCCGCAAGCACAGCTGTCTTTGGCCTTGGCTTAGCTACGTGATCTCCCGGTCCTGGTCACCCCAGGCCAAGCACCTGTGATGCTTGTAGACAGTAACTGGAAAAGCTCACCCCTAAGGGGAAAGATCACTGAATAAGATTGCTTTGGGGCATGTAGGAAGAGCCAGACACCTACAAAATCTCGGCATTTGTGTACCAGGTCCTTCTTAGTAGGTTTAAAATGTTCCTTGCTGACATCCTGTGTTGCAACAGATGGAAATGATCTTTTGTTTTGATTGGATTGAGTAGAAAGTACATAACTTGTTGGAGGAGAGGGAAGAGGAAGTTACAGGCAGGAAGGGCCGGTGGGAGGTGTGGGTCCTTTAAGAAGCAGCAAGCCTGAGAGGTACAAAGCTCTGGTGAAGGCCTTGTGATCCTGAGCTGGTTCCTATTGTATTTTATTTATTTTAAGGATAGCATCCCAGAAAGTACACAGATCATAGTTGTACAGCTCACTGTGTTTTTGGTTATGGGTGACAATGCTGGAGATTGAACTCAGGGCCTTGTGCATGCTAAACTCACACTTTACCACTCAGTCATCCCCCCAAACCCACAGTATTTTCTCCCTAGGAATCCAGTGCTAGGCTAACGCTCTAGTGCTGAGCTACACTCCTAGCCCTTTAAAATTTTTCTAAAATTTTGAGATAGGGTCTTGTAAGATTGCTTAGACTGGCCTCAAACTTTAGATACTTCAGCCTCAGCTTCCCAAGTAGCTAGGATTATAGGTGGGCACCACCACACCTAGCCCCTGTATGATTCCATTCTGACAGTTATTTTAGCAATTCTGTGTTGCTAATAACCCAGTACCACGAATTAGGAAAGTTATAAGAAGGAGAGACTTATCAAGGTTAAAGGGCTGTATCAGGTGGTAGCCTTCTTGCTTGTGGAGTTCTGAGGTGGGGCAGGATATCCGTGGGTGAGGGACAGCAAGCATAAAAGAAATCCAGCCAAACTAGCAGACCCTCTGAGATAACCTTTTAATTCATTAATCTCTTAATCAAATTAGTGTAGTAATCCATTGATGAAGGCAGAACCCTAACCAGCTTTTAAAGGCAAAACCTGGTCTTATCTCTTAATATATCACAATTATTAAATTTCAACATGAATTCTGGAAGGGACAAACCAACTCCAAACCTAACAACAGTGAAATTCATCATGTCCCACAAACATGTGCCATCAATCCTTTGTTTGCAAAGACACTGATGCACTTGCCTCTCTCCCCCATTGGCCTCTCTCCTCCCGTGGGGTGGGGTCTCTGTTCAGGTTTACTCTCAGCTTCCTGGAGTAGCCAATCCTGGGACTGATTTCTAGCACAGAGGACTCTATATACATACCAAGTTGTGTATAGCACCATAGGCACCTTGAATGAAAAGTGCAATGCTCAGCCCTGATGCTTCCTGAGACTCTGACCTTGTACCTCTGGGGTCAACCTGGAGTTTGTAACATATACCAGGGAGGCTGATGGAAGCCGCTCCCTCAGCCTTCCCCCCACACACATAGTGAGGAGTGCTTTGCTTTTGCACCAGCGATCAACTTGAGGTCTCAGGGACAACATGCGAGATTGAGCAAATCAGTGTTTAGCTTGTGATCAGAGCAAGGAGGTGGGAAAGGCTCAGGGAACAGGTGGTGAGCTGAGGATGGAGCCTGTGTGTGTCTCTAACCATATGCTGAATCCTCTAGGAAGGATGGCTCAGCTCTCCTTCACTTTGCCCTGCTCAAGAGCTTTCCCTGATCTTGAATTCTAGACTTGCCTATTAAGATGAAGCTGGCTGCTTGGCTTCAGAAGCCGGGGTGGGGGAAGCTGTTTTGGTTGACTGAACCCCTTAGCGGCCTTGCTAATCTTGCAATAGAAATTGAACATGAAAAACAAGGGAACAGGTTGTTTTCTTTCACAGCAGAGAGCAGCTCCAAGGCGTGATTTCTTATGCCTTGGAACACAGATGCCTCCTGTTTTACAATGAGGCTGGGCCCTCCTTGGCAAGCAGACACCCAGCCTACGGGATCTACACTTTTTGTAAGTTCCCCATACCCACTGGCAGGCATCTGTCAGCTCTGATGCCGCTCTGAGGCAGAGTATTCTACCCAAAGAGTGGCAAGTTCCATTGAAACGGAAGATGGTAGGAAGAAAACAGCAGAAAGAAACAATGAAGCATTTTGGGGGGCCTCTATATGACTTTATAATCCTTTTCTGCTCGAGGGGAATGATTTGCTGTGCTGTGGTTTTTTCCTCTGATTGTAGCAGCTCTCAAAGTGTCGTCCCTAAGTCAGTTGCACCCCAGTGTCTTCTTGGGGTTTGTTAAAAGTATAAATTGTGAGGTCACTAGCCCAAGTGCACAGAATCCGAAACTCTGGGGATCGCGCCTGGCAATGTGTGTTTCACGCATCTCTCATGAGATTCTGACAGATGCTCAGTTATGAGAATCAGTGGTTTCATGATAAAGCTGGGGGCCTGCTTTCAGTTGAACAAAGAGAACTAGTTCAGCCAGGTAATGGACATAAAAAGAAACTCTAACTGGGTTGCAGGTAGTGGTTCATATTTTGGTCCCAACAGAGTTTATTGTCCAGAGAAGAAGGAGAACTTGGGACTGGAGACCAGGAGGTGAGGAGCTGTTTTTGTGGATCTCTCTATTATCTTGTGAACAAGACAGGTTGACTTCAATAACCTGGGGCAGAGATGACAGGGAAACTAAATCCATACCTATCTACAGGTCAACCCCCGTCAGGTGCTTTACCAACTCCATAAACAAAAATAATTCAAAACACATCAATAAACTACATATAGGAGCTAAAGCTATAAAACACTTAAAACACATTGGTTATGCATGTGACCTTGGATTTGGCGGTAGGTTCTTAGATATATGCGCGGATAGTAACAACATTGGCAAATTGGGCTTCATCAAAAGTAAATTTTGTGCCTTGAGGGACACTAACAAAACAGTGAAATGACAATAGTAATGGGAGAAAATATTTGCAGGTCACATATATGTTAAGTGTCCAGTATCCAGAATATACAAAGAATTCTTACGATTCCAAACCGAAGGACAAACAAATCAATCAAAGAATGGGCAAAGGCTGGGGGTGGTGTTACATATGTGTAACCTCAGGATTCTGAGGCAGAAGGATCTCACGTTTGAGCAAGACTTTGTCTCAAAACAAAGGGGGGCAGCAAAGGCTATGAACAGAAAATTCTTCTAAAAGATATACAAATCACCAGTAACACTGAAAACGCACCTAATAGCACTCATTATTAGGAAAGTACAAACCAAAACACAACAAACGTACTGCTTAATACCAACTAAGATGATAATAATGATGATGAAAAATAACAGATGTTAAGGGAAAGTAAAAAAGTCTTATATGAAGGAATATGAAGTGGTATAGCTGCTGTGGAAGAGACTTGGAAGTTCTCAAAAAGTTAAACATAGAATCCCTAGTAGAGCATAGTGGTCCTCATATGTAATTCCATTACTCTAGGGGGCCGAGGCAGGAGGATTGTAAGTTTGAGCCCATCCTGGGCAGTTCGGAAATTCTGTCATCCTGTCTCAAAATTTAAAAACAAAAAAGCTAAAAGTGGCTGTGGCTGTAGCTAGTTCAATCCTTATTATCATGAAGAAAGAAAAAAAAATCACCTTATGATCTATCAACTTCATTCCTACTTATGTGTCCTCCAAAACTGAAGGCACATACCCAGATGCACGCCTGAACACAAATATTCAGAGCAGCCCTGTTCACAATACCCAAAAAAGTGGAAACAACCTAATTGCCCATGAGCTGATTAATGGATAAACAAATTGTGATATATTCATACAACAAAATAGTATTCAGCCATCAGACCGAGCAAGTACTGATACATATTACAATATGCGTGAACCTTGAAAAAATTATGGAAAAAAAGCCAGACATATAAGGTCACAACTCCATTTATGTAAAATATCCAGAATAGGTAAAACCATAGAGATGGCAAGCAGATTAATGATTGCTACACACGGGAAAGGATAGAGTAGAAGAATGACTGCTCAATTGGGATGGGATTTTCTTTTGGATGAAGTAAATTATGAGATTAGAGAGAGGCGGTCGTTACATAGCATTGTTAAGCTGATTAATGGTGGATTAAACATGGATTTCATTTGAGTTTTAAAAATCGTCATCCACAAATATCTACAAAGCGCAACTGAAACCACACTCTTTAGCAGTCAAGTCCTCCACACTGTTGCCCTCTGCAGCCTTACCTCCTCTGTAGCTTTGCTATCCTAAACCTATGAATCCCAGTGTAGTGTGCTCTGGGAGGGGTCTGCCAGCATTTGGGGCCCACAGTTCTCTCCCAACTCTTCTGACCCTTTCTGCCCTCACCGCTCAAGGTAGACCAGCAGCCTTAGCATCCCTGGACACCAGGAAGAAAAGTAGAAGCTGGAGCTCCCAGTCTAGACCCACTGGGTCACAGCTTACATTTGAACAAGATCTCAAATGATTCCAGTGCACTCCAGTTTGAGAAGCTCTGGTTTACTCTGCTGGGCCGCAAGTTAGCCTGCTGATCAGAGTCACTGATGAGCTACATTTATTTACAATACATACATTGGGTAGTGGATGCACTTGGTAAAAGTAATGGTTGTATGTATATAAGAGGAGCAGTAGAGTAAGTCTGCCTTCCATCTCAGGTTTTTCACCCCGGAGGCAATCTGGGTTGTGTTTCCTGGGTATTCTTCCCTGTTCCTTGCAAATGCAAGAATGTCTGTACATATGTGCCCCCTTCCCTTTTTGATTTTAAACAAATAGTAATATACTGTAGACATTCATTTGCATTTTTTGTGGCAATCTATTTTAAAGATCATTTCAGCACATATAGTGCTGCCCAATATTCTTTGTAATGATTGCATAACAATCCTGCTATAACAGAGTCATAGCATTGTAGGCAATGTATTTACATTACCACAATTAAAGAACGTGGTGTTGTTCATCACAGTGCTATGGTACCTCTCTCTTATGAATGAAGAGTGGCCAAAAATATAGTGACTGTTTAAGTTAAAAAATATTTACTACAGTAAAAGAGGATTAATCTCCCTGAGAATAGTCCCCACACCCTTCAAACACGCTGATTCCACCATTCTTGCCCCTGTTTGAAGCAGTTCTGGAAGTCTTGAGTGTCTTTAGTTGTGTTGTCATAGCCACCTTGATGTTCTCAATTGATTCAAAATGTTTACTTTTCATAGTCATTTTGACTATGGAGAAGAACAAGAGGTTGCACGGTGTCAAATCCAGTGAAGAAGGTGGATGCTGACAACACCGTAATGGTCTTACGAGTCTCTTCCTGTTGCAGGGCACTCAGCAGCAGTCTTCACCGTACTTATTTAAAAATCATAAAGATACTGACAATAGAGGACTTGCAGAGCTGCTTCACACCTATGAGCATATGATGTCTTAATAATGTCTGTAGGATTAAAGAATTGCTAAATGAAAGAGTAAGTACTTCTTTTTAAAGACAACAAGATACACAACTCGTTCCTGGGGAGCTTTAAACAAGACAGCATTTGAGTTTATGCTTTTCTTCAAGTCTTGAGGAGTCTGTGAGTGAGGCCAGAAATCTGAGTCTTATTTCTTAGGCAATGGTGATAAAGAAGTCTGCTGAATGGATTAGGGAAGCCAGAGATGGAGCTCCAGGTCCACCAAGCTGCCACTTCTCAGGGTCTGCCTCAGGCTGCTGTTTACCTTTTTGTGTGATTGTCCCCTCTCCTCGCCAGAATGAGAGATTCCTAGAGAGAGACCTCCTGATACTGCCTCTTTCCATTCTCATCCATGTGGTGCTGTGGACAGCAGTATGTATTGACCAGAAGGCTGTGCATGGGTGTTTGTGGCCCATGTGATGATTTTCATTTTTCTTTTTTAGTTCCATGGACCAAACACAGAGACTCCTGGGCCAGTCCCTTTCCACCCCTACTTCCAAGCCTAAGAAGAAAAGGACAGCAGTGATATCTTTCTTTTCTAAGGTCTGGCACAAAATGTAATGAACAGATGCCTTTTCCCTCAAGATGCACCTGCTTGCTCCATCATTAGTTGGACCTGCTCCACTGAGGGTTACTCTGAAAAAGAATTTTAGCATAGAGCCCAGGAATACACCAAGATGAGTGGAGGAGGATTTAAATTGCTGCTCACTCAATAATGAAAGTGTAGAATGAACTGCAACTCAGAAATAGCAATGAGATTTGGAAACTGCCCAATCTTCTTGATAGTGCTGTAGAAACAGCTAGATTTGCATCAACCCCATTCCACACTTACTGAGGATGGTGGGTAGATAGCTTTTCGTCTCTCATCTTGTCTGGATCTTTCATTATCTCGGTTCTGACTCTAATACTGGTTGCCTTGTTCTGTGTTTGAAGAGGACTCTCCCAGGCTCATTTGCTGACTATAGAGCGCGGCACATCTCTTGCCACATTTCTTGCCCTGCAGTGACTTAGAGTTCAGCCTTTGAAGCATAGGTGTCTGTATTGGACACTGAGTGTTTCCTAACTTGAATTGTTTATGCATCCCTCTTCCTAATCTTAACTGCTTGGATGCATGCATTCTGGATTTAGGATGACTTTTATGGGCCCTGAGATGTTTGTAGATGGCTAACAGATGTTTGCTGATGAGTTTTGCCAATAGTGTCACACGCTGTTGGCTGGCTGAGTAAGATGCCTACCAATGATGGGCCCTGGAATTAGACACATGGTGGGATGGAGACGGGGGAGCATCAGCCTGACTGCAGAAGATTCAAGGGAGAACCGGAGGAGCTGGGTTGGTAGTGTGTGCCTATTTCCAGCACTTTGGAGGCTGAGGCAGGAGGACTGCTGAAAGTTCAAGGCCAGCACGGACTACATAGTGAGTTCAAAACCAGCCCAAACTACACAGTGAGACCTTGTCTCAAAAAACAAAAATGGAGAGAGAGGGAGAGAGAGAAAGAGGGAGAGAGGGAGAGAGAAAAGAGGGAGAGAGGAAGAGACGGAGAGGAGAATTGGAGAGAGCAAGTACTGTACAGACCTGTCTTTCAAAGCATTTAGCAGTAGAGCAGAAAAATAGGAAGTGGTTAGGAAGAAGAGAATCTTTAAGGTTAGAGGGAAAACAGCACTTCTTGCAGCATGAAAAGTGTCCGTATTCTCACATCAACACCTATAAGATTCTTCCTTATTAATTTCTGTCACAGCTACCACTGCTGTATAACTTTTCTATAATTTTCCCAAACCTGCCTTATCATGCATTAGTTTTTTTCTCCTTTTCTTTTCCTCCATCAATTTCTTCATGATGCAGGTCAAATTAATATATTATTCCAACAAAATCAGGCACCTCTAGGGAATGGTGCCATAACTCAATGGCAGAGTGTGTGCTTAGCATACACAGGGCCCTGGGTTTGATTTGATCAACACATGTGCGCACACACACACACACACACACACACACATTTAGTTGAAGTGTAAAACTGAGCAGGTAATGTTAGGATTCTCTTCAGGGAGAGGAGATAGTGTTAATTCTGGGCTCAGCATATGACTCCAAACAGTCCCAAATTAATACATTTTTTACCTACCCCTTAGATTTCTTGGAAACTGAGGTTCCAGAAGAGGGAGTCTTTGAAGAATGTCTTTTTCATCTTGGCAGAAAGAGCCCGGGACCCCAGTGCTAAAAAGCGCTATCTGGCAATGAAAGGCCTGGGCACCATGGCCAATGAAGCCCCCAACCAGGTAAGGAAAGGAGATGAACTCGGCCTATCTTCCCATTTCTCCGGTGCCCATGTGTGGAGTCCTCAATGTTGGAGCACCCTACCTCATAGATTAGTTAGCTGCTGTGCAGTGAATCACAAAAGACTCAGCCGCTCAGAGCAGTGTGTTTGTTATTTCAGTGTCTGTGGATCAAGGGTCTGATGCATCTGGGTTCTCTATCAGAATCTTGCAAAGCCTGGGTCAGCCATACTGTGTTCCTTCCTGAGAAAGCTCAGGGCATGCTTGGCTTTGGGGATAATTCAGCTTTTCCAGTTGTAGGACTGAAGTTTTTATTTCCTTGCTGGTCATCTACTGGGGCCACTCCCAGTGCCCACAAGTCACCCTTTCATGAGAGGTCAGCTTACTTCTTCAAAGCCAGCAGGAGGGTGTCTCTCACTCCTGCCTGCTACAGTGGAATCTTCCTTAATACCAAGTAACCACCAGAGCTACATCTTGTCACCTTTGCATAGTCTATGAGGCTAGAAGCGAGTGTGGTTCTTTCTACAATGAAGAAGAGCAGATTGTACAAAGTGTGATTCACTCAGGGTCATTTTAGGGCCACCTTACTCTTCACCACTCTCAGGCGTGGTACACAGAGCTCCAGGCAGAGATGACACATGCTGACATCTCTTTGGAAATGTTCCCATGATTTATGTTTCTTCAGTAATAATGCTCTGTTTACATCTCTTCCTTTAACATCTGTCAACTGCAGTACCATTTTATGACTTCCCCATCCTAAAGTACCTAGTACTCCTCAAGCCCTTGAGTCACACAGTCCACACCCTCCCTCAAGTGCCCTCCTCAGCTCACCCATCAAGCTCATGCTTTCTGTTGTTCAAAGACTTGGCTAATGGAAGCATTTGTATTTTGATAAGAGTCATGGCAGATCCTGAAGGTCACCATGGTTGCTTGGTACAAGACCTAGGTTACTGGAAGGTTGGAAGTAGCACTGCTTTTGAATTCATAGAGAGTGATTCCTGGACTATTAATGCTTTTCAACCTTGGTAACAGGTGAGAAAGTACAAGAAAATTGTGCTAGACCTGCTGGTGCACGGATTGTACGACCCTGTGAGTTCTGAAGTCATCCATGAGAGTCTGAAGGCTCTGAGCATCATCCTGGGCAAGATCCAGGGAAAAAGTTTGGGCTCCTTCTTCATAGACATCACCCTTCAGACCAGGATTTTATTGGATGATGTAAGTGAGATGATTCATAAAAATTCTGGGTTATTGACATCAAAGTGGAATAGAAATGAGAGCACTGCTTACTGTGTTGCTTAGGGAACAAGGTCTGTATCAGTTACTCAGTTATAAATCATTTATGAGCTAGTACCGTGAGAAGAGTTATGGAGGGCATAAAAGTTGTATAGCATCCCTTCATTCCCCTTGGAAAGGTTTCATTTTATTAAAGAAGTGAATATATACATTATGATTATGATTATGTCTCCCATAGTCGGTGCTCTCTTGTATGTGTAACAATGTAGCAACCACAATACATAGCATTCAGGGAGCCCTTACCGAGGGCCATACCCACTGCTAGACAATTTACATGGACTATCTCATGTTGCCTTCATAGTAACCTGTAAGGTAGGTTCTGTGATTGCCTTCACTTTACAGATGAGGAAACCAGAACACGGAAAGGTTGGACCCTACCAGAGGTTTGCAGAGCAGTAACTGTACATGAAAAAAGGCCTGGCTATAATGCCTGCATTGTCAGCTACTGGGACATGAGGATCTTAGATACCTGGCTTGCAAGCTATCAAGTTAGCCTGCCAGTTATTCTCTGAAAAATACAACCTGATGAACAGGGAACAAACCTTTTATTTTCTGCTCAAGTAACCTGACTCAGCTCCCCACACTGTTGAGTTCCTGTGGAGCCACACAATGCCAGATAGCTTTGCAAAAGAATAAGAGGCCTTGAGATTATGAAACTTGGAGCTTTTGCAGGAGCTGCTGGCAAGTTTGTTTCTCTTTCCTCCAGAGAGAGATAGAATTTTGTTCTGGAATAAGCGTACACTGGTCCTCTCTGAGGTGCGGAGAGGAAGATGTCTGCTTCATCATCCTGGAATGTCAGCAGATGTTTTGGGTACAGGTCCTTGAGTCTCACTAGAGGTCCCTTTTGAACTTCAGGACTTATTTGCCATTTGACCATTATTAAAACCCTGCCAGCCTATCATTTTTGGCCATGGAAGAACATCTTGGTCATGTAGAACAGGGAAATTCTCATGCAGAATTTTTTGCTGATGGTTTATATTCCCAGCAGAGTTAACAATCTTTACTGTCTGCCTTACACAATGTTCATTCATGCATGTGCCCCTGTTGGGTGACTGTCAAGTTCCTGGGGGACAGATACCTGTTTTAGCATTCCTGCACATCTCAGCATTTGGGGAGGGCATTGGACGGCACATACATAATCACACCACCGGATCAGTGGACAAAATGACAAGCCTGTGCAATTTCTGTGTCACATATGCTAAAAACAAAGATGTCACAAAATAATCAGTGATCCTCAGACTTGCTTAGTTTCTGTGTCCTGGATACTCCTTGCTCTTAAGGGGACCCAGCCCTGCCCTTTTCCTACAGGTTCATCTGGAGTTATACCACAGAACACTGGTATAAAAACCTGTGCACCCAGAGTTGAGAGGCTGGGCTCTGGCAGCATGGAGTCTGTTGCCTGATCAGGCAACTCGTGGCACATTGCTCAAATGCCCTGGGCCACAGACTCTTCATCTAGGAAGAAAAAGATACTAAGCAAACAGCCCACATGGGAGAGGAAAGAAGGGCAGAGCCCGCTGACTTGTGACCCTGGAGGAACTGACCCATTTGACTAAAAGCCAGGAGCATTGGGAGGGTGTAGGGAGAAGACGCAGGATCCTTATTTCCACTGCAAGTGGGAGGAATTGGACCAACAGCAGAGAGGTGACCTGGAAAAAGTACTGGAAGTTATGACAAGGAATTGGCCCAGTGAATGATGATGCAAAAGAGAAAGGGAAAGGAGGAGAAAAAAAGGATGAAAATCCTTTAAAGGTTGATGTGGGAAAGGGCTAGATAAATTAATAGAGAAACTGAGGTGCCTGACACCAGTAGATGGCATGTCTACCTATGTTAAAAAGAGAGAAGGGACTCTGGGCCTTGGATGTACCCTGTCATGTACGTCCAAGAGTTCTGACCGCATTGTCCCTGATGCAGCTGCCTTTTGGTTGAGACTGGCTCTTGTTTTGTTGATGGCAACCCACAGGAGAACGACAATGTGAGATACTCAGCCTTTGTTTTGTTTGGGCAACTGGCTGCCTTCGCTGGGCGGAAATGGAAGAAGTTTTTCATCAGTCAGGTGAAGCAGACACGAGATTCCCTCCTAACCCATTTACAGGACAGCAACCCCCAGGTTGCCAAGGTAAGACTGTGATTCTCCCAACAACGTGAAATCTCCTTTGGTCATAGCGGATGTGAGGCAGCCCTGTAGAGCTGAGATGCCAACCCTGCCTCAGGTGAGGACCACTTAGTGGAGCCTGCTTGTGAATTTTGGAAAAGAGGCCTCCTGTAGGTACTTCCTGCTCAGAAGGATGTTCGTCTCCATTTGCTTCTTACCCATCTGCCCAATCCAGCACCTGCGAGGGCTGGAAAAGCTCAGATTCATGAGAGATGGGGCGGGGGGGGGGTGGATTTAGTCAGTGGGGAAGCAGCCCATTGAGTGAATGTATCTCTTTAGCCTCAGTTAACTTTTCTCACTGTGCCTTAGTACAATTTCCTAGTCTTAGTTTTGCAACTCCTTATGGGATTTTTGTTTTGTTTTGTTTTATTCTTGGCTGGGCTGGATCAACATCATGCCTGCTGTGGAATGGGACTAAGCGAATGTTTCAAAACCATTGGGAGTAAAGAGTCCTATGAAACCCATTATTGAGGGGGGGGGAGAGAATATAAATGAGGTCGAGTTTAGGAATTTGGTATTAAGAAGCTGTGTAAACTATAAAGCTCTACACCACCCCTCACAGCCCCTAGACATACACCTGCCATTTCATAAGCATAAGGCTCAAGTTTGCAAACATTCTGAAAGTTACTTTAACTCACTTAGTAGCCCTGACCATAGACTGGGTGCATTCCTGTGTGGTATTGTTTCTTTGGGCTTCTAGAACTCTCCTAATATTTTCAACATCAGATGGCTTTGTTATTTTTCTCAGGCATGTAAAACAACTGTTCGAGCCTGTTCTCCGTATCTGAAACTGAGGAAGGAGTACAACTTCCAGAATGAAGAAGAGCGAAGGAACCCCAAACTCTGTCGGCAGCTGGTGAGTGAACCAGCTGGCAGGGATTCTCCTGGTAACATGGAAGGTGACCAAGCAGGGTAGGAGGCATGCCCTGTAAAATGACTCAGGCCAATTATTTCCATTGCAATCGACCCACAATGCATTGCAAATGGCTACACACCTGAAAGATCACGTACAGAGTATACTGGCATGTCCAGTTCAGGGATGCTGCCTCTATCTCTCCTGCCTGTTGTTTATCCTCATGCCCTATGTTGACAACTGCCTACTAGTGATGTAGTCAAGATGTACTGAGTCCTCCCTCACAGGTTGCTTTCCAATTTCTTTCAGAGCCACTGTCATCCAGAGCTCCTGCAGTTCTTCTATGCAAATAAAATTCTCTAAGTACAGAGGGCAGAAAAATGGTTCCCCTCAAGTGTCCTTCTGGGGACGTCATTGCTCTCTGTTTTTCCCCACTGAATGCCTCGTCTGCCTGCCTTTTATGACTATCATAGAAAAGAGGACGTCAGGAGAGAAACTGAGAGCAAAAATACTACCATGGAATTGCACACTGAAGCTCAGCATGGAATTCTGAATTGCTTTCACATATCTCATTTTCTCCCCATCCAGATTTGATGAGAAGGTATATTTTTCTTAAAATCACTGAAGGTATATGTCTACCTATGAGTTCAATGCGTATTTCTCAGCTATTTCCCTCTGAAGTTCATCTCTGTTAATTACCTTCTATTTCTCATATTTAACTTCTATGACTTAGGCGAATAATTGTTACCTTGAGGTGTGTTTTTTTAAAAATGAATTTGCTACTGATATTTTGCTACTTGCTCTTGCTACCTCTTCTTGCCATGACTTAAAGTTGGCCAAGATACCATGAAGATAATTTGCAGGGATATCTTCAGCTTCTCACTGTCTTAAAAACTCATTGCCTTCAAGATCACCTTTAAAAAGAAATAACAAAGAAAAAATATCAACGGAGCACGTGTTCAACATTCTCAGGATGATGATAACTTATGGAATAAAATGATTGAGTACCATTTAGTGAATGTTTACAATTTATTAGGTATTATCTAAGAACTTTCAAGTATTACCTAATATTCATAACAACCTTATGAGGTAGGTAGGTACTTTTATTTATACATGAAACATCCAAGATGTGGAAAAATCAAGTAATTTGCTCAAAATAAATGGTGGAGAGAGAATCTGAATCTATGTCTGACTTCTGGGGCTTGTGCACAATTAGTCTTCATGGAATCATTATTGGTTAGATATGTGAAAAACAGCACAAACAAAAAAAAACTTTCTTAGCTTTTGCTTTTCTAATAAACCCAATTAGCTTTTGGTCTTTTTATGTATATATACTAAATGTACTATTTTATTACATGAGTTAAGCATATACTTTTATTTATCTCTTCTGGATTATTTGCGGATTTTTTGTTGATCAATCCTAGTTACCCGAGGGGCCACACCACTCTTATTAAAAGTTTTAGGTGGGTATGGTGATACTGCCTGTAGTACCAACTGCTTGGAAGCTGAGATAGGAGGATCACTTGAGTCCGTGGCTTCGAGGTCAGCCTACACAACATAGTGAGACCCTGTCTCAAAAAGCAAAACATTTTAAGAAAAAATTGTTTAGTTCCTTTCCTCCCTTCCTACCAACAAGATTACCCAGAATTACTTTAGTATTTCTGAGTGCACATAGTGCTTAGCTGTGCCTGGAGGGTCATGGTCAGTTTTGGAAATGGAAAGACAGATCACCAAGGATGGAAAGCAAATCATAAAGACTATAGATGGCCTTTTGGCTCTCTGAGTGGCACCATGGTGGTAGGCAAGAACAAGTGCCTTATGAAAAAGGGAGCCAAGAAGAAAGTGGTTGACCCATTTTCTAAAAAAGACTGGTATGATGTGAAGGCACCGGCTATGTTCAACATAAGAAATATTGGAAAAACATTAGTCACTAGAACTCAAGGAACCAAAATTGCGTCTGATGGGCTCAAAGGTCATGTGTTTGAAGTGAGCCTTGCTGATCTGCAGAATGATGAAGTTGCCTTTAGGAAATTCAAGCTAATTGCTGAAGATGTTTAGGGCAAAAACTGCCTGACTAACTTCCATGGCATGGATCTCACCCGTGACAAAATGTGTTCCATGGTCAAAAAATGGCAGACCATGATCGAAGCTCATGTTGATGTCAAGACTACCGATGGTTATTTGCTTCGTTTGTTCTATGTTGGCTTTACTAAAAAACGCAACAATCAGATACGGAAGACCTCTTATGCTCAGCACCAACAAGTCTGCCAAATCGGGAAGAAGATGATGGAAATCATGACCCGAGAGGTGCAGACAAATGACTTGAAAGAAGTGGCCAGTAAACTGATTCCAGACAGCATTGGGAAAGACATAGGAAAGGCTTGCCAGTCTATTTATCCTCTTCATGATGTCTTTGTCAGAAAGGTAAAAATGATGAAGAAGCCCAAGTTTGAATTGGGAAAACTCATGGAGCTTCATGGTGAAGGTAGCAGCTCTGGAAAAGCTACTGGAGATGAGCCTGGAGCTAAAGTTGAACGAGCTGATGGATATGAGCCACCAGTCCAAGAGTCTGTTTAAAATCCAGATTTTTAATAGTGATAAATAAAATCCTATTTGTGACAAAAAACAAAACAAAACAAAACAAAACAAAACAATAGATGGATCTGAAATGGCCTGTGAGGAGGGAGAGGGTTTAGGAACATCCTGGGAAAGTCATGCTGCGGAGATGGTCACAGAGGCAGCAGTGTCAGGCACACAGAGGGTCCTTTTCTTGCTTTTGGAAGCAGGAGTAACAACAGGAGCTCTTAGGAGTGACACAGTGTCAGCAGCCGGTGGGACAGGTCTGAGCTGAGCTCTCTCCTTCCTGGCATAGTGCAAGGTTGGTTTAGAATCTAATACAGTTCCATTAAGGAGTCAGTGAGCTACATGGGAAAGGACTGTGTTTTCCTGGCACTTAAAAACATGGGGATATGGTGAGGGGGTGGGATTATGTGCTCTGAAGTAGAAAAAGTATATCTACTTTATGTCCCTTAAAGACAATTATGGAAGATGCTGCTGGGTTATATGACTTTAGGTTTCCAAACTGATTTTTGCTCCCAACGAATCCCGCCGCCTGATATTCACATCCTTGTACAATCCTCTGCCCTCAAATCTGGGTTCATTTTGTGATCTGCTTTACCCAGCGGAATGTGATAGAAGGGACACTGTGCCAGTTGTGAAAACCTGGGCAGCTTACTCTTTTACATTCCAGCGGGAGCCAGCCACTGCATACAAAATCAAATTACCAGGCACAGAGGGAAACAGCTGAGAGCCTTTAATGGAGAATGAGGAACCCAGGTCACAGCAAAGTCTGAGGCTGAGGTACACGACACAGTTTGGCTGGTCCAGATGGACCCCAGACCCTAGTGACTGATACCGCATTTCAAGGAGATGGCTGCTTCCATCACATCCACCCCTACTGCAGAACTGTGGACAGTAAGCAGTTGTTTTTCAAGTCATCAGTTTGTGGGATACTTTGTCTCACAGCTATAACATAAAAGAGAGCTCTTATCATTAATTTTTGTTATTTTTTCCAGTTTTGTTTTGCCACTGATAAATTCTCCTTGAATTTAAATTATATTTCTAAAAAGGTGTGTTGCTGTGAAATTGGCAAAAGCAAAGCACCATGCCTTGTTTTTCCTCCTGTGTCTCACCATTTCTGTCCCAGGGCCTACCACACAGCTTGTGATTAAGAAACACTTGCTGAGTAACTAAATGGTTCCAATTGTAGGGAACATGCGCTGTCCTGGGCTCTCAGCTGCAGACTCACATTCTTCTTCCCAAATCTCTTTTCCTCAAAAAGCTTCTTGGTCTTTTATACTTTATCACCTTTATATGTGTACTTTATGCCTAGTCTTCCCTGAACTCCTCTATCCCTGACCCACACACTTTCCTGTAAACACACACATGTGCATACACACACACACACTCCCATGCACACACACACACACACACACTCACGTGCATGCACACACACACTTCACATACATGTCTTCTTTATTCTGCAAGCCTAAACCAAATTTCAGAACCTTTCAGTCAACAAACAGCTTGAATCTCTGAATTTCTAGAAGATCTAGCAGTCTTACGTGACTTAGCCATGCCACATTTAAAATTTTTAAAAACCTGTATGTCGTCTTTTGTTAGACTGAAGATCTTGTATATCTGTGTATTTCCTGTGATCTCAAAGATATGCAGCAGGTACTCAGTGAGTGAATGTGGACTAGGGAAGAAAAGAAGCCAGAGATTAATCCTAAAGGATTACTCTTCTGAGAGGAGCTCATTTTGACAAATGAGGATCATTATTTCACTGGCTGTAACTGACCCACAGTTTCCTTTTATACTTTTGAATTTAAAATGTCCCTTTCCTCATAAGTCGCCTACTAATTTGAATGCCAACCTACAGGCAATGCTTTGACATTTCTTTTTAACATTAGATATAGAGCAGTTGAATAAAAGAAAGGGAAAAGAGTGCCCAAAGGCCAACATGCTAAGTGCCCAGTGTAGAACTATGTGTAAATGTGGTCCTTGCTTCGGGGGGTAGAAATGAATCTTGAGAGGCAAAAAGGAGAGGAAAAAAAACAGAAACAGAGGCCAAGAAGCTAGCATTTGTGACCAGCTCTGGTAATCAGTGCCAGTCACCAGGGAAATTAACTGGGGGGAAAGCTTCACACATTGTAAAAAAACACTAGTGAGGTTTAGAAAGGACCTACAGTTCTGCAGGTTAGCAAGGAGTGAACGATGTGCATAAGGTATGTTTGTACTTCTCTGTATTTCTCAGGTTTTCTGTAATGAGCATGTGTGACTTTTAGAATCAAATAACACATGCAAAAATGCCCCTTTAAAAACAAAAACAGAAAAATGCTCATCAGTGTAAGTGATACACTCTGGAAAGCCTAGATAGCTGGTGTTCACTCTTACTAGTGTATGTTTGCTTTTGTCCTTTTGTGACAACTTGTTTTTATCTGTTGATGACATAATCTGACAATGACAAGTAAAATAGCTCATGATCAATACTTTACATTATTGATATAACATTATTTTAATCTCATTACAGTAGAATGTTTTGTTCCTGCATTTACATATTCAATATTCTTAGAAAAATCCTACACTCTCCATAAACCTAACATATCCTAATTTTTTGAAAAGGATGATTTAATATGCAAAAGCTTCTATTATTTACCGATTTAAGTATGACTCCCACACCAGACATTTGTGATTCTTTATAGTAGACACCAGCCTTAGTTTCCTTTGTCTCTTTCCAAATTCTTACTGCTTGGAATATTTTACTGTCCAATTCCTGGTTTCCATTCAGCACTCACAGACTGATTTCACATGCCCTTTTCTTCAGAGGTAGAACACATCATCAGAGAGGATCAGCTCACCCACTGATTTTGGGCAAGTCAGTGAGCTAAGCCTCAGTTTGCTGAGCAGCAAGATGGAGATAGTAACCAAACTCATTGAGTTGCTGGGCTCCAGAGAGCACTTGGCACTGTGCTTGGCACGTGAAAGTTGCTGTGGAAATGTTATTTTTATTCCTAATCAGCACAGCAGGTATTATGCCTTCTTTTCCTGAAGCTGCTCCAGAGCAGTCCCTTCTGGGTTGTCTCAGGGTAATTTAGTGTTCGCCTGAGGGGTGGCATCTGTATCTCACTCCTTCCCAGTTCTCTATATATATGGCTTTGAGCCTGGCATGGGTATTCAGCAAAGTTTGTTTTACTTTATTGAATTGTAAATGCTGGTTCCTTGGCCAAACTCAACGTGCCACCTGATAGGTTTTAGAATTTTAATACACATAAGGATCACAACTGAAGGAGAACAGCAAGTTTTTCTTTCCCACTAAGTCCTCCTTGGGATGTTGTGAATACTCAGAGCAGAGCAATGCCTATTTATGTTTCAATGGTGTTCATCCCACCCTAATATTCCCAACAGCTCCTTAATAATTCAAAGTTAAATCTCTTAGGCAATCTCTTGTTAATAATTAACACATCACCTTCTGTTTCTGGATGAGACTGCTGTAATCATGTTCCTTTCAAGCTAATGAGTTTTCTACTGAAGTTTGCAGATGTTAACTATGCATTGGGCCAAATGTCTTCCTGCAAGAAGAAAATGTTTTTCAGAAATGTAGATCACACTTAAAATGTCA